ATATTATTTGCAACTATTGTGAAGGGTGTCATTTCCCTAATTTCTTTTTCAGTCTGTTTATCTTTCACGTAGAGGAAGGCTACTGATTTGTTTGAGTTGATTTTATAACCAGCCACTTTGCTGAAGTTGTTTATCAGGTTTAGGAGTTCTCTGGTGGAAGTTTGGGGGTCACTTAAGTATACTATCATATCATCTGCAAATAGCGATATTTTGACTTCTTCCTTTCCTATTTGTATCCCTTTGACTTCTTTTTGCTGTCTAATTGCTCTGGCTAAGACTTCCAGTACTATATTGAATAGGTAGGGGGAGAGTGGGCAACCTTGTCTAGTCCCTGATCTTAGTGGGATTGCTTCAAGTTTCTCTCCATTTAGCTTGATGTTGGCTACTGGTTTGCTGTAAATTGCTTTTACTATGTTTAGGTAGGAAAGGCCTTATTTCAATTTTCTTGTATCCATTGATTCTTGCTTTGTGCATGACTTTATGGTCAATTTTGGAGAAGGATGCATGACGTACTGAGAATAAGGTATATTCTTTTGTGTTTGGGTATAATATTCTATAGGTGTCTGATGGGTCCATCTGATTGACAATAAGTCTCCACTGCTAATGTGTTTGGTTTGATGTGTAATTTAAGCATTAGCAATGTTTCTTTTACAGATGCAGGTGCCATTTCGAATGGGGCATAGGTGTTCAGGATTCAGATATCATTTTGGTAGGTTTTATTCCTTCGATGACTATGACGTGTCCTCTGTTTCTTTGGGTTTAATTTTGGTTGAAAGTCTATTTTACTAATTATTAGAATGGCTACTGCAGATTGTTAACGGATTCATTTGCTTGGAAATTTTTTTTCCAGCCCTTTACTCTTAAGCACGTATTTAAAAATAAGTAAATAAATAAATAAATAAATAAATGCATGGATAACCTTGTGGAAAGCCACAGATACAAAACTAATATTTAATAAGCCAATAAAATTGCATAGTGGAGAAAATATAGATCCATCAGCCAATTATGTATGTAATATGTGAATTATGATATGTGATGTATTACATATCATATATATATGTATACATATGTATGTATATATCTATATTCTGCTAAAAGACATTTTGTTAAATTTGTAAGGTAAGCATGCCTACTAAACTTATAACGCATGTAAACTTTGTACTAAATGATAATAGCTTTGAAGTAGTTTGTTATGATGATAAATATATATACCACAATTGGAGAATGTTACCTAAAGACAGGAAATTAAGTTGAACTTAAGTGTTCATGTGAAATTAGAGCCTTTTATTCTTAACTTTGTTCAAAAAGCCCTGAACCTTTTCAGCAGACAGATATGAGTGATAAACAGGACATTGCCATAGTACTAGCCTGTTGCCAGATATACAGAAGAATCCAGGTTCTGTAGATAAAGATGGGGTACATCTCCATTTACTCCTGTCAAGTACAGACAATGTTCACTTTCTGTACCAAGGATATCTTGGGAAAATGATTCAAGACAGTGAATACTAATGACTTTTATACAAATTCTCCATTCTCTATTATTATCAAAAATCTAGTAAGATTTTTTCGCAGAAAGTTTTTGTTGAGTTATACTTCAAATTGGCACATTTCATTGTCTTATGGGTTGTGAGAAAGCTGGTCATGGTGTTTCCACAGTCAGGAAACGGGAAGACGCAAATGCTGAGGCCTTATTTTTTCTGTCTTTTTAAAAAATATTATTCAATCTGAGTCATATCTATGAACTGGTGTCTCCAACATTTAAATGGATATTTTCTTCAAAGTATCCCCATTATCAGAATGTCATGTAATGTAGCTACTATGGAAATTGATGTAGAGCTTTCTCAAAAATATTGATATTGATCTACTTTATGAACCACCAATACAACTCCTAGAAGTATACTGAAACAACACTATTATACTTTTTATACAATTTTATTTCTGCACTGTGCACAATAAAAAAGAATTGGAAATAGCTAAGACCTATCAACTGATGAATGAATAATGAAAATGTGGTATAATATACACAATGATTTTTTAGTGAGCTCTAGATATAATGAATATTGTAGGGAAATAGATGTAGCTGGAAATAATTATTCTTAGTTAGGTAACTCAGACCCACAAAGACAGTTTTGTTTCTCATATATAGATTCTAGCTTTGAATTATTTATATATGTTATCTTTTATTTATGTGCTTGGGTATATGTGTGTGTGTGTGTGTGTGTGTGTGTGTCTGTGTGTGTCTGTGTGTGTCTGTGTGTGTGTCTGTGTGTGTATATGAGAGAAAGTGTGCCCAAGGCCACAGGAGATTGATCCACCTGGATGTGGAGTTACACAGTTTTAAGCTGCCAGGAGTGACAGCTGGGAATCAGACCCAGATCCTCTGGAAGAGCAGTATATGCATCAGCTCCTTATCTTTGAATCTTTAGATATGTCTGTTTTAATTGAATAATTTTAGAATTCAAGGAACTTTAATAGGTCTATGGGTGACTAGCAAAATTTCAAGTCTTGGAGGTGATAGTAAATTCTGGATGCTATTAAAGGAAAGAGGAATAATGGGGGCAAGACATATTAAGTTTTATGGGGGTTGAGAAGGCAGGGGAAAGTTGTTAAAACAGAGGATTAACTAATATTAAAGACTTGAATTTCTTTTCCAAAATTATTATTTTAGAAGCTAGTTGTATTGGAATTTGGTAATGAAGGGATTTAATAAGATATCAACAAGCTGTTACTAAAATAATGAAAGAATTATTGCTTTGTTTAGTTGCTCCCTCATTAAGAATGATCAGCAGGGCAGTTTGAATGGGAATCACAAGTACATTTAGTTATACTATACTTTCATTCTCAATTAGGACTTATCTTTATTATCTTGAGGCCCTTCCAATGGTCCATGAAATTGGCATTATGAATGAAATTCAAGCTTATCACTGTGAATGGGGAACAGGTCTTTTTTAAATAGGAATATTCTGTGAATATTCTTTGTTTCTCATGGCCTCAAGGCTATCCTTTGGTTAAGTCTTTGTCAGATATGTCAGTATGATGAAAGGGTCCAGTGATAGAGGAATAATGTCTACCCTGAAGGCTTTCCTGTAGCCCAAAAAGTAAGTTTAACTTACATTTCTTATGCTCAAGCAGTGTTTTTCTAATTCTGTCATACAATAGGCTCCCCAGAAGAAAGATGTCCCTAGATTATGTCCTTTTAAAAATTGATTTATTAGGTCTTCTTTGTAGGTCTTATAGAATTCTGCACTAAACCCATCTGGTCCTGGTCTATTTTATTTATTCACTTACAACTCATTATCAGCCCTTCTTCTCCTCTCAGTACTCTCTCACACAAGTCCTCCCTTCATTCTACCTTCCAGACCCTAGCATAACTGTCGATAATTGTTTTCTGAGAGACTCTACACAGCAACTGAAATGAATGTCTAGATTTTTGGTGTACTTTCTGATGAAACTATGTTGACCACTGTTGTGAAATATAATAAAGGGTCCTGATTAGAACAAATATATTTAATAATCCAATCCTGATGCTTATGCTCAATCAATTGTGGTACAACTGTCGTAGGTGCAGTCTTAATAGAATAAATTCAATTTAGATTTAAGCAAAGCTCCATGTACAGAAATTATGTTTATATATGTAAACCTGGCTAAAAATCTTTGACTTAGGATATTCTAACATAAAACGAGAAGACCTTATATGTTGTTTTGTTAAATAAAGGTCCTTTGCCTATAAGACAACAACAACCAACCAACCAAAAAGAAAAAAACCCTCCTCTACACATCTGGATTTACATCTTACATTACTGACCTATTGTACCTAGTTTGTAGAAACAAAAATGTAGGAACAAAAACCTATCCTATGTTCCCTGGATCCTGGAAAAAGTCATAAATATTAAACTGCTCAGACAAAGGACTCTTCCTGTGACCTTGTGTTCCACTGTTCAGAAAAAGTGAAAAAAATTATCACCTTAACTAAGATTCAGTGACACATACAGTACAGGTAAGTATTGAGAAAAGTGAACATCTAGGGAAGAGATATTTTCTAGGGGATAGATGTCATACTCGCCTTTATCAGGTAGAGAGGGGTATAGCAATTGGCAATTTAATTTGGATCTACCAATATTTTTGAAATAAGTTAAAAGGCTTATATCGACATGTTGAATCATCATGGTCATGAGGCTGTTAGCACTGACTAAAGCTGAAGAGTCATATGATTGTCAGCTTTATTTCTAATGTTACTTCTTCTTGCCTCCTAGCGGTGTGTGGCCCTGGGGATGGTTCAATGGCCTATATAGGAGGTGGAATATTTACTGGATGTGAGACTGCATCAAGCAGACAGGCTGTGCCAGGACTCTTCAGATATGCCACTGCCTTTCTCCCAACCATGCCCTTGTGAGTATTTCTTCAAGTTCTTCTAAGTAAGCTAAGACAGTCCACTGATGTACAAGATATTTTAGACAATTTACATTTTTTCTATCAACTTTGCTCTATATAATGTGAACAGATTGTTCTTCATACCTGGTCAGGACATGTAAAAGTGGATAAATTTGAATTGTTTCTAATTACTAGTCTAGAAAACAAATACACCATACGTTCTTGGATCAGTAGTTCTTAAAAGGAGTCTTCCTTCCAAAAGACATGTAGAAATGTCAAGAGATATTTTGAATTTTCTTACGTGACCTATACAGGAACAGGAATTTTATCACTGTCTGGTGGTAAGAGCAAATGTTTTGCTTATATAGCCTCAGATGATCAGGGCATAATGTTATCAATCTCAAAAGCCAAATTTCAGAAAAAGACATTTGACAGGAATGATATAGAAAAAGACTATGTATTAAATTTATAATTACTCTAGAGGAAGCTGTTTTGGTGGCAATGACAATTTTGGTCGAGGAGGGAACTGCAGTGGTCATGGTGGCTTTGGTGGCAGCCGTGGTGGTGGGGGATATGGTGGCAGTGGGGATGGCTATAATGGATTTGGCAAGGACCGAAGCAATTTTGGAGGTGGTGGAAGCTACAATGATTTTAGCAATTACAACAATCAATCTTCAAATTTTGGACAGACGAAGGGAAGGAACTTTGGAGACAAGAGTTCTGGCCCTTATAGAGGCCAGTACTTTGCTAAACCACAAAGACAACGTGGCTATGGAGGTTCCAGCAGCAGCAATAGCTATGGCAGTGGCAGGAGATTATAATTACACCCAGGAAACAAAGCTTATGTCTTCCATTCTAATCTTATCATAGTTGCCTGAAATTATTTCTCCATAGGCCACTCATATTAGCATATCTAGTGACTTTGGCTTTTTAACTCACTTTTAGGCAATCAAGCTGGTAAGACTTTATGAGTGTAGCTTGTAATAGTCCTAAGAGACACAGTCTCATAGCAAACTCCATTTTCCTTTACATAAAAATGAAAAGTAAGTCTCCACAACCATCACCAAAGTTTCCAGAACCACTTTGACCTCTCTGGCTGGGTCAAGCACTAGCCATCTTTTGCTTCAACAGAGCCTTTCTTACTTCATAGTTGTAGCCTTTCACAGTATGGTATTTCTGAATAACAATCTTATCTACAGAGTGATGGTCATCAAAGGTGACAAAAGCAAAGCCTCTCTTTTTTCCACTGCCTCTGTCAGTCATAATTTCTATCACTTCAATTTTCCGATATTGCTTAAAATAATCTTGTAGGTATTGTTTTTCAGTGTCTTCTTTAATAGCATCAACAAAGATCTTTTTGACAGTTAAGTAGGCACCTGGTATCTGAGAGGGGAGAGCCAGAGAAGTGACAGGGAAGTTACAGGTTACAACAGGTTTGTGAACTCTGCCAAGCACAGTGGTGGCAGGCCCTAGCTGCTACAAAGAAGGCATGTTTTAGACAATACTCATGTGTGTGGGGAAAACTCCAGGACTGTATTTGTAACTAATTGTATAACAGGTTATTTTAGTTTCTGCTCTGTGAAAAGTGTAAAGCATTCCAACAAAAGATTTTACTGTAGACCTTTTTCACCCATGCTGTTGATTGCTAAATGTAATAGTCTGATCATGTCACTGAACAAATGTGTCTTTTTTCTAATGTGCTGTGTAAAGTTAGTCTACTCTTGAAGCCATCTTGGGAAACTTCCCCAACAGTGTGAAGTTAGAATTTCTTCAGGGTGATGCCAAGTTCCATTTGGAATTTATTTATGGTTGCTTGGGTGGAGAAGCCATTGTCTTCAAAAACCTTGGTGTTGTTAAACTGCCAGTTACTGTTATAACTTTTAATGAGTTTTACTATTGAAATGGTCATCCAAGTAAGGTCACAATTTGGTTATAAAATGGTTGTTGGCACACCCTATGCAATATCAAAATTGGATAACTGTATTAAATAAAATAACAGATGGTAATGAAGCTTGTGTATCATCCATTATCATGTGTACTCAATAAACAATTTAATTCTCTTGGAAAAAGAAAGAATGCAAGACATAATCTTCCACATGGGAAAGTACACCAATTGATTATCAAACAGCCAATGGTCCTCTCTCAAAACCTTCCATACAAGTAACATACAGGTTGTAATCATATATTTGAAAATATGAATGCATATACATATAATGTACATAACAATAATTAATGAGAAAAAGAAAACATGAATTTTTTAAAAAAAAGATTAAGGAGAGGTATATGGGAGTGTTGGGAAGGATGGAGGAGAAAGGATAAATTATGTTATTATATTAATCTCAAAAATTAAAGAAAATGACATATTAGAGGAAGTGATAATTGAAAACCACACATTTTTGTAATATTGAACTAATACACAATTAATTTAATCTCTAATTCTATGCAAATTTCAGCATTATTCCTAGTATATATCCCAAAATGTGGAGAGTCACTAAGTTCTAATACTACATACCTATGGAAATGTAACTATTGAATTACATTTCACAGTGAAAGATTCTTTTCCCCTGTCACTGAAACACAGTATCAAATTATACAAGGAAAGGCATGGGGCAGAGATAACAAAACTTCTTTAGATAACTTTGGAGGAACGGACTGGAAAGGCACTTGTTTCTATTAACAGGGGCACTTCTGTTGCTGGTGGTGTCAAACCTCCTTTTATGGGAGAATGTGATCTCTGGAACTTTGAGTCGCAATGAGGCCAGTGATGATCCACTATCCATCAAGGGACTATTTCTTAATGCCACAAGACTGTCTCAGAATATCAGGGACCTCAACATGAAGTTGCGCAGGACATATGTAAGTACTTCAATTAGCTCTGGTCTATTTCATAAAGCAAACTTCTGGTCAAATTGTCCTGCACTACATTGACAGTTATTATGAGCCAAATCTTTGAAGAAAATGCACAGTTCTAATAAAAATTAAAGGATCAGCTATTGAGAAGTGAAGTAAAGAGAAAGGGTGTAAGTTTCATGAACTATCAAAGATTTTTGAAGAAATCAATGAGCCATGGAATTGTCTCCTAGTTATCTCTATATTTTCCTAAATTTTCATTTGTGGCCTAAAAATCTAACAGACACAGATGGGGAGAGCTCTGATTTCCTTATGTTGTTTACATCTCTGTGTACATCTTTGTTTAATGCAAGTCAACACATTCAATAGAGGGGAAATGTATTGCAATGTGTCATATGTAATGAATGAAACTAATTTAAAAGGGGATATGACAAGTGAGAAAGCCAAAAACAAACAAACAAACAAACAAACAAACCACCACCACCAACAAAAAAAAAACCCAAACCAAAAAAAAAAAAAAAGCCGACCAACCAATCAAATTGCCAAAACATGAAACATTAACCTCTCAGAGTCATTGTTTAGATAGGTACAATGCATAAGTTTATTATACTCAAAAGTCTGTTTAGAAGAGGAAGGGTCTCTCTATTTCAAAGAGCTGCATGTTCTCAGTTCACTGTCAGTACATGTCAAGGACAAAGTAATACACAAGGGTTATGTTCAAAACTAGGCACCAAGAGAATGTGTCTCTTTTTGCAATAAATATGCATTGATGTTAAGATTTAGTTCAATAGGTTTTCTGATTTTTTCCTTTATCCTATCTCAGACTGTCAATGAAGTCTCTGAAAACTTATACCATAAATATGTAAGTACCACTCTTACTTCCATCTCCCACCCCCAAAGCCACCATGTTAATGAATTTCCTTGAGTTTAGCACTCAAAAAGTAACTACCAGTTTCAAAAGATACGCCTCTACAGGCAAAGGAAAGTGCTAGCTGTTAAAAAACAAAACAAGCATAGGACAGCTTCCTGAAATCACTGATTTGCAAGATATAGAAAAAAAATCTGTAGATTTTTATCTGTTTTTTTTAAACTGTTGTTTATTTAAAAACAATCTTTGCACTTGCAACATAATGTTTTAATAGTTGTGTCCTGGGAAGAATTTTGATCCCATGATTTTGCTTCTATGGAGTCAGTCTCTATTGACATCTTTACTTACAACACTGGAGAAATCCAAAAGAGAAGCACATTGCAGTGAGTCAGAAGGAATGAATGGACTGAATCTAAAGTGTGACAATTCGAGAGGGGAAAAGGCAAATAGCAACAACAACGTATTAGCTTCCCCTAGATCCCTAAATGCTGGGAATCAAACTTGCATCATATTTAAATTATGTTTAACGGATTCTAGTGAAGAAGTTTATTCACTGGGAAGGCTGGATTAGCAAAGAAACAGGTTCTGTGTTCTTGAGGACTGTTTTTATTCTGTTCAAGGCCAGTTAGTGTCAAGAAAGAGAGAGTAGACATGACTTCATTACTTACATGAAAACCCAGAGAATGTGTCTTTTGGCAAAAAATATGCATTCATGATGACTCTACTCATTAATTTTTTGTCACTCCCCTCTCTTGATTCAGCTAAATTTATCATCAGAATCCTCTCACAAAGTTGTAAGTATTTCATTTATTTCTATTTTCCTTTATTTCAAAAGCCTTCATGCTAATGGCATCACATAAACTTATAAGAGAAAGTATCAAAGACCAATTGTCAAGTAACATATCCACAGGTGTATTATGATTTTTCATTAGTATCATAATATAAGAAAGACTCTGGCAGTAAAAAGTGAATGGGGAGGCTTGTAAAGAATGATTTGCTCAATTGTATATAACCTTATTTACTTTTTAATTAAAAATTGCAATTTTGAACTATAAATGTAACCATCGTGACTAGGGAAGATCTCCTATATATGAATGGAGCTTTGAAGGAGACGAAAAACATTTGCATTTTCCACTTAGTTCACTGCAGATCCCCAAGAAGGTTGAAATGCATTGTAGTCAGTTGGGTGTAGGGAACAGAAGCAATCCAAATTCCAAATGGAAACCATATTAAGAGGGAAGTTAAACACTAATTTATTTTCAGAAACTTCAATGCTTAGATTCCTTTTACAGCTCCCCAGTGCTGGAGTTCATTCAGGAGGGGGATTGGTTGAGAAGAAAAATTAGACACCCTCCTTCTGATGACTATTATCTGTTCAAGATCAGTCAACATAAAGGAGAAAAATGTAAGGCTTCAGTAGAACCATGGGCATCAAGAGAATGTGTCTCTGTATTTGCAACAAATGTGTTATTATTATCTTTTTATTTTTGGATTGGATTCTCATTCCTCATTTTCTACTGACCCTATTTCAAAATTTTAACATTCCTGGGAACCCATTCAACTTCTACACAGTAACAGATTATCAATATAAAAAATAAGTTATTAATAGTATATCTAAAGTATAATATTTATAAATATTTATTGATAAAAATGTAAATATTAATTAATATTGTGTTGCTTTTTATTTTTATTCTCTACTATTTCCTAAACATGTGCAATTTGCTTTATCTAATTTTGTCAAACATGGCACATTGTCAGTTAGGATTTATGATTAATACTGGATGGTACAGATGTTTACATTTTCTTGTAACAGGAAGAAAACATAATTTTAAATGCCTAGGTAAAATATATGTGTCATTAGAACAAACAGGAAACAAGAAGTTAATGAATGTAGATACAGAGAACCATAATAATGGGCCCAGATTCTAGAGAAAAATAATCTCTAAGACACTTTATATTATATAGCTTTGATACTTCTAATTCTTTCACTGAATATTGAAAAACTTAGAAAAAATAAGAACATATAAGAAGAAAGTAAGTAAAAGCAGAGAAAGTAAAGTTCAGGATACGACAAACAAAACTTCAAACCAATTAAGAGGTATCAACATGTTTATGTTGTTAAGTCTTTAATCTTAGTTTCATTTTTATAAAATATATATATGTATTTAGTATATTAATATACTGGTTAGAATTTCATTGATTTACATTGCTAGATTTCAATGTACTGAATACTAATTTTGATATATGCAGCTGCTTGAGTTTATTGAGGATATGGAGTTTCTGGTCAAGGCTCTCACCTGCTGCCACAATTATTCCATCAAAACTCCAGGAAACCTGGATGAAGCCCAACAGATCCCTGTGAGTTTTTAGCTTGAATGTTTTCTTACCTAAACAGCAGAAGCAGTTGACTAACATTGCTTTGTCATGCTGCAGGTTTTCATAAGTAGCAAATAAAATGTGGAAACCATACATACAGGGAAATGGAGTAAGAATGAACAGACAATTTGTGTTATTGATTTCATAAACAAAGGAAATGTTAAGTAATATTATAACAAGTCCTTAAATAGTCCATTAAGAAGGTTTTAGTTTAATGATATTTCACTACCAGACTTTACTTAATAGAGACAAATTGCACTGACCACCATGCTCAGTTTTCTTGATTTTCAAGACTTTTCTTATTCTACTTGTGCTTACTTACCTATTCATATCCATATGACTTCTGAGCTTTCTTCTATGTCTTAACTGAAAACACCTGAACAAGGAAGCGCTCATAAGCACTGTGAAATGCTCCTGAGTATAAGCCATACCCTCAGTTGTAATGAGGTCTACATATCAGTGCAACTCTAATGATAACTGTTCTCATCTTTCCTCATTATTCTTTTCCAAATCTTATCATCAAATGAGCTTATTTATTTGCCTTGTGATAACAGTTAGACAAGGTGGAGAAAGAAAATATTTCTAGATATGTACTAACTAGGCACTGGACAAAGTACTGTATTGACATTGTTGTGATTACCACTCACAAAAGCTAGGTGAGATAAGAAACTGAGGCATTGAAAGGGTTTATGGAACTTGCACCTTCCAACAGAACAGAGATCTGTGCTCCTTACAGTTCAAGTCCTCATTCTTATTCATGTGCAGCAGTGGTTCCAGGAGACTGTATTGCCAACACCTTTGGATTGTTCTTTCTGTCATGTATTTTTCCCATTTCCATCACAAAGTCCACCAGCTTCTTCAGAACCCATTTCATTGTCTCTATGATAGCTAGAGATATCAGCACATGAAGCATTTTAAGTCATTTTAAGCATTTTTATTCTTGCTGTTACTGTTGTTCCATTGTTCTTAATTTACATGTTCCAACAAATGTTGTGCTCTATTAGAGGCAAGAAGAAGGAGTGCTGTAGACTGAGGAATTCATACTTATCAATCTCAAGTTGACTTTATGGAATATTTTTATTAATATTCTAAGATAACCTGAAAAATAAATGTGATTTTGAACAATGTAGTTTATTTGTGTGATGAATGTAAGTTAAATGTCTTGCCATTTACACTGTAGGTATCTATTTTTCCTGAAGCAAAACATCTACTAAGCCTGATCAAATTCTTGAACTCCCCAGGATAAAACAAAACAAAAAAATGTTTAAGAGATTACAGGAAGGTCTGATGGCAGAATTGCTCAAGGAATGTAAAATCAATCAGTAAAATGAAAGTTGGAAATAGTATTTATCTATATAACCTGTTTTATGATGGTAAATTACATGTTTTTCATTCACTTTATTATTCTATACATTTTTATTCCCCAAACCTTTCTGCTTTCTCATAAAAATAGCAAATGGATGTTTATTTCAATCTGTCTCATAGAAAACTTAAACTAATACTTTTTCTTTATTTCACTTATCTTAATATGACTGATAAAACATGGCTGCCTAGTTTAACGACTTTCCAAAACTGATCCTCAGTAGAATGTGGGCTTGGAATGAAACTTCTAAAACTCTACTGAAAATACTCAGAAGTATTCCAAGAATGCATGGTGATGTCATTTCATTAGCCAAAGACATTGAAACAAAACTTGCAGAGCTTTTTGAGTACATCCAGAGAATACTCAGCTTGGTGAGTAATGTTCTTTCCTTCTACCTTCCTTAATCATGAATGATGCGACTTCTGCAATGGAGATTAAAACTTGAAACATTTCACTTGTAGATATTCTCAGATGTAAAGGATAAAGATTGAAGTATAACTTTTCATAGTAATTTAAACAGCACCTCTTTCTCTGGGCAGAGTGAAATATTCCAGACTACTTCATTAGACACTCTTATCACAATTACTTCTTGATAATCAGCATTCCTTACCTACCATGGACAAACACAAGTCTATATTTAAGTATCAAATCATGGTCCTACATTTTCACAGTCATGGAAAAGCAAATTTCCTCTGAATTCAATTAAATATAAGAAAATATGTATGGGGGTGTTGATTTTACTTAGAGGTGGCTGACAGATGTGTAGTACTGCATGCTAGACATGTAAAAATCTACATACCTATGACTGAAGTTTTATATTGTTTTATTTTTCTTTATGATAACAGATTTTCTTTTCTTTCTTAATTTTTGGCTAAAATACATTTAATACAGTATATTTTGCTCATATCCTTTCCCTTTCCTAACTCCTCCAGATTCTCCCTACAACCTTACCTACCAAACTTTCTTCCCCCGCCTCGCTCTTTCTCTCATAAAACAAGACATATAACAAAAGGGAAAAATAAAAACCAAAACAGAGAAGCAAACTAAGATAAAGATAACCAATGAGACAAAAATACCCAATGAAGACAAACAGTTTACCTGGACAAAACAGAAAAACCCATGGAGTATGTTTTGTTTAGACTCTTGGTTTTGAGGTCTGAGCCAGAATATTGTTGAGATACCCAATGATATGCTTTTGGAGAAAACTGATTATCCCACCTGTTTTCTTCTGGTATCAATTGCAAATAACTTTTTTCGTTAGAGATAGAACTTTGTGTCCACTTCTTATTCTCAGTTCTCAGACTTTGTGTGGTTTAGTAAAGGTCTGTGCAGATCTTGTGAATGCTGTCGGTCTCTGTGAGGTTTTGCATGTGTCAATCCTGTTGCTCACTGAAGATGCTGGTTTTGTGGACTCATCTACCACCTCTGTTTCTTATAAAAATTTTATCCTCTCGTTCTTGTAGATATTGGAGCTTTGGAGGTGGTGGGGTATTGAAAACATCCTATTTAGTGTTGAGTGGTCTAGAGTCTCCTACTCTCTGCACATTGTTCAATTGTCAGCCTCTTTGTCAATTATTGTGTCCTGTCAGAAGAAACTTCAGGCTTAAGAGATACTCTTATCTATGGGCATCACAATATTCCTATGCTACTTTATCAGAATAATAATAGGTTTTACTCTAGGCCTATGACTTATGTAGTCTTAGGATCTAGATCTTATTAGCAGTGTCAGGTATGGTTTCCATCCCATGGGATGATGCTAAGATCAAAGGAAAGAGGGGATAGTTACTCCCATAACATTTTTACCACCATTGCATCAGTATATCTTATAGCAGGTATACTAAGACAGATACCAGTCTTAAAGAAGGTTCACAGTCTTATCATTTCCATAAAAGTAATTTGACATCTAATTTTAAAAAGAAAAACAAAAATAACTTCTCTAAATAATAACTGACTGATTTTTGTTTTGGTCATTAGATTTATGGGCCAACAGAAAATGTTGATCACACCGTCTTTTCTGGTCTTGAAGACTTAAAATCATCTGATGAAGAACTTCGCCTTCTTGGTCTTTGTAAATTTTCCTATTGCTTACGTGAAGATATGTATATGGTTGAACTTTATCTTAAGCTATTTGAGTGTGTAGTATATATTAGTAGTGACGATTGCTTATCCAGCACTATTTGAGATGCTTCATGATGCTGAACCATTTTAAATAATCTTAATTTTATAATTGCGAAGCTAAGATTGAGTACAATGGGTGTCTTTTAAAAGAAAAATAAATTATGTTGAAGTTTACACAGAAAACTTGTTAGTATTTTTTATTCATTTAGTGGTAAATGTATTAATAGCTTTAAGAGGTATGACAGACAAATGTATAATCCACAACTTACATCATAGTCATGGTAAATTAATGTTAATGTCGATATAGTTATTAGTGTCAAATACTAAATTCACAATTAAAAATATTTCCATGTTATTAAGCACATGGGACTATTGGCATACTGCAAGAAAGTAATTCAGTTTGATGTATCCTATCCTATTACCCTATGCTATAGCCACCCATCAGGTCTGCCAGGCAATAACACCATGTCCTATGGTTCAATTTGTAAGATTTCCCCCTCAGTATACAAGTCACATGTACTCATTAAAGTCTTAAAATGTGTTCCTGAAGTACATACTCAGTGCTCCAATCTAGTTGTATGAGTCATATCCATTCCTCCCCAAGCTTCAGGTTAGGACAGGATTCACATCTTGTGTGCATGACCAGCTTGCTTCTTTGTTCATCATACCTTAGCACACCATCTCATGCAAATATATTGTTTCCAGGAACAACCAGGCTGGCACACAAGGTGCTCTTGCCAGACCTGGTGAATGCCTATACTTGACACTAAGTTTTCTGCACTAGCCCAAATTTACAACTTTAATAACCTAGAATAATTCCTAAGTGCATTCTAAAATATATCCATATACTCACAGGTAAATATATTTCTTACACCTTCTCAAAGAAACTGCTCAATCTCAAATTTCTCAGTACTCATATATTATCTGCTGCTCTCAGGCATTATCATAGAACTTACTTGTTGCAGTGCATAGTGATAAACCCAGAAACTCTTAAATAATAAAGGGACAGAGAACAAAAATTAGTGGGATGTTTACACACCAAAGGATATGTATATCACAACAAATCCAACTTTCAGGAACTACTTTGAAAAGCAGGGCATAGAAAGTGTTGAGAGAGAGAGAGAGAGAGAGAGAGAGAGAGAGAGAGAGAGAGAGAGAAGAAAGAGAGAGAAGAGAGAGAGGAACACCAGAGCAAAGCAGTGACTTCTGACATGATAGGGTCCATTAACTCAAAGCACATGTGCTTGCTTGTACAAGAACTTCATGAGAGCAAGACAGTAAGCACTCAGACATGGAATCGGGACATGGTATGGGCACCACCCTTAGCTTACGAGTTACTGATGGTTAATGGCTTCGGGTAGGAGAGGCTATGGCCACTCTTAAGTAGCCCAATCTCCAGGGGATAACTGCAAGGCTATGTCAGTCCAAACTAGACTTTGTGAGTTGTTTGAGAAAAAAAATGTTGAGAAGGACTGGGAAGAAAGGAACAATGAAAGAATTGTCATATTATATAGTAAATAAATTATAAGCAAATTTGAAGCGTAAATAATATTACAGCAAATCTATAAATTACTCACATAGAGAAGCTCAATGTCCAGGTCATATTTCTTGCTAGTGTAATATATCTTTTAGGATTATAAGACACCATAAAAAATAACTTTTTGACAGATATATATAAAGAAATGATTAGGATAAAAAACAAACAACTGGATCATGGAAAAGAAGCAGAGAAAGGAAAGATGAAAGAAAAGAAAACCAATGTGAGATATGATAGAAAGGGTGCCATGCTGTTAGGACAATAAACTTCATAACAGCCAAAAATGACCTTAACTTTTAGACTCTCATACCAAATTTTATTTCCCCTTCTACCTCACATCTTCTCTTTCTTGCTGTCTTGAATGTCTACTTGTAATTCGAAGCATCATTTTCTCCATCCGCTGAATTGTTAAAACTTTATTTATAAAACAAAACCAGACCATCCTTCATGTCAAAATTCAAGAAATATGTCTAATACATATTTTTGTATTAGACATATTAAATACATAATACAATTTTGATGCTTATTGTTTGGCCAAACCAATATTTTCTCTCAAAACCAGACAGATTACTGAAACATTCTTTTGCTCCTCACTGTGGTGGGCCCTCTTCTTCAAAACCTAACAGGAGACAGTTCTCTAAACCCATCAACTTGTCTATTAGCTCTTGAATGCATGCAAAATACTAGTAACTCTATGATATGTCACCCTATTCCTTCAAAATGCAGGAGAGTGTAGTATGGCCCATATGTACATTATCTCTATGTTATTCTTTTTCAATTCTACTGTGCTTAATATTTACATTTTGTAGTAATATTTATAACACAGAATATGGTAACACAGCAAGAATGTTTGAAAATAAATGATAATTTAATTTAATAAAATATACATTTTAAATGTCTGCAAGAAGAATAGGTTTCAGACTTCTGATAAATTCTGCAAGTGTGGTGGTTTAAAGCCTTAGTTTAATAGTGTCATATATCTGAATTAAAGTTTTCAGTGAGGATTTATTAGAGCCATAGGTGCTGTAAAGATTCTGCAAAATGATGTTAGAGAAGATACTTCAGAATAAAATAACAGCTTCCTCTCTAATGATAGTGAATATCTTTCTCCTATAGATTTCAATGCAATTGAGAATTTGAAGAAATGTCTGTTGCTGCAATAGCCACTGTGATGCCAGGACAGAAAGAAGGCAAGGATTGAAGTGATTTCATTTTATAAAGTACAAAATTATATACTATGTGCATGCTACAGAACAAATGAGAAGTTAACTTTTTTTTTTAGGCATTTCAATTTATTTTGAGAGGGATGGGTCCAAAACATACACATTACTGTACTAATGTCAGTGTAATGGCAACTACTCAATGAAGAAAATTAATTAAGTCACAGATGGCAGACAAAATAAAAATGTAAACAAAACATGGGACAGTTTAAGAAAACCATGAAACAAGTTGGCTTCTGAATTATGACAAAGCAAGAAATGTTCCATAGCAAGGCATAGAGTATGTCTTCAGTAAAAAATGAATGTTTATCAGAACTAGAGAACAAGATAACGTGTCCACTCAGGTAAAAGAGTCCTACAGAAATTTAAATATTCAAAGCCATGAAAGAAAGTCTTCATGATACATTGTAGTTTATGCACAATATTAACAGTATATAGATATGGTTAAAATTTTATATAATAAAAAATAATAAAAACACAATAACAAAGAGGCTTTGCATGCTTCAAGAGAGATAGATCAACTAACATTTAAAGAGAGGTCAATTAGAATAAAACTCAGTTATTTAACAGAATCCTTTAGAGACTTCAGAGACTAAAAGGATGTAGCCCATGTCCTGAAAGATCACAATTGTCAACCTATAATATTATATTCAGCAAAACTATGTACTAAACATGGAGAATACATAAAATTTTTCTATCATAACAAATTTAATAAATTTAGAATTATTAATCAAGGTCCACAAAGAATACTAGAGGAAATATTCATTCCAAAGAGGAAGATAATACACCAAAATGAGCTTACCAAGTGTGTACTATACCAGAACAAGAATTTATATTTATCACTCACCAATAACAAGTACAAGTTAATTGTATCTACCAATAAATTTACCATTTTTATTGGATATTTTCTTTATTTACATTTCAAATGTTATCCTTTTTCCTGGTTCCTGACCCAAATCCCCCATCCCTTTCCCTCTCCACCTGTTTCTATGAGGATGTTTCCTCAACCACCCACCCACTCCCACCTCCCCACCCTCGCATTTCCCTTCACTGGGGCATCGAGCCTTCACAGGACCAAGGGCCTCTTCTCTAACTGATGCCCACCAAGGCCATTCTCTGCTACATATGCAGCTGGAGCCAGGGGTTCCTCCATGTGTACTCCTTGGTTGGTGGTTTAGTCCCTCTGAGCTCTTAATTTATCTATTCATTTTAAATTTGTTTGACATTCCAACCTTCCTCTTCTCTTCCAGTCTCATCTTTACAAATTCCTACCCTGATTACCCCCTCCAGTTCTCCTCAGAAAAGTACAAGCCCCTCTTGGGTCTCACTGAACTGTGGGATATCCAGTCACAATAGAACTAAGGGCCCAACAGAAACGTAATCAGGCTGTTCAGTTATGAGAAGATGATTTAATTCAAGCAACAGAGACAGAGACAGTCTCTGTTCCAATTGTTAGAGGATCCACATGAAGCCCAAGATGCACATCTGTTACAAATGTGTTGGAAGCCTATGACCAGCTTCTGCATCCTCTTTGATTGGTGGTTCAGTATCTGTGAGCCCACAAAAAGATCAGGTTAGATGACTCTTGATGGCCTTGATATCTCTGATCACTTAGTTTTATTCCCCACTCCTCCACAAGACTCCGCAAGAACTGGCTGATGTTTGAATGTAGGTCTCTTCATATGTCTCCTCAGCTCTTCAATGATGCCTCCCAGGAATCAGTTATCCTCAGCTCCTGTCTGCTGGCATAGCAGAGTATCAGTAATAGTGTCAGGGATTGGTACTCTTACATGGGATGTATCTCAAGTGGGGCCAGTCCCCCAATTTCTGCTCCATCTTAATACCTGCTCATTTTGGAGCAGGGCAAATTTGGGGTTGTAGGTTTTATGGGTGTGTTGATGCCCCTCTCTCTCCACTGGAAGTCTCACCTGCTTATAGGAGGTGGACACTTCAGTTTCCATATTCCACAATGGTAGGAGTCTCAACTGGGCTCATCACCATAAATGCCATGGAACCTTCCTGGTCTCAGATCTCCTGCTACTCCCAGAGAAGAAGAGGAATGAAACACATCAAAATTGAAATCACAATGAAAGTCACAAGTAATAGACTAAATCAAAATGAATAATGACGAAGCAAAGGAATAAGTTAAAGAAAATATGACACTTGAATATTAATGTATAGAGAGGTAGATGACAGATAAATGATAGATGATGAAAGATAGAAGATATATAGATTAAACAAACATGATTAAGCCATGGTGTAACCAATAGAATAACCAAAAATCCATAAATAGGAAAATTAACTCAAAGTAAATCTGT